GTGAGAATGGAAAGAAACACACAGTGCTGCTCTTGCCCATTTAAAAGAATGCTTTAGTCATTGTCCTCTGCTGGTAAAACCAGATGCTGATAAACCTTTCAAAATAGAATTGGATGCCTCATTGAAAGCATCTGGAGGAACCCTCTCACAAAAACAGTCTTATGGATGATGGCATCCCTGTGCATTCCTATCCCAATCCTTCTCCCCCATCAAATGGTGGTACAAAATCTACAACAGAGAGGTGCTTGCCATTATATATTGCTTCAAAGCATAGTGCCACCACATTGAAGGATGTAAGGAACCAGTTGAAGTGAATTTTCTGCAGAAGAAACATTTCTTCCCCCTGGTGTCTTCATTCAAGTCATTCAACACCTGTTAAGGGACAGCTAGAGTCCAAGATGAGCATCTAATATATTGAATAGTAGACCATGCAGCTACATACCTAGAGTCCGAGATGAACATCTGGAGAAGCAAGTATACCCACTGTCACCAGCAAAACTCAAGGAATTAGATATTTTTATGAAAGAAAACTTATGGAAAGGCTATATTCGTCCTTTGAATTCTCCCATAGCATCATCATTGTTCTTTGTCAACAAGAAATCAGGGGATCTATGCCCATACCAGGACTACCAGAAGCTCAATGATGCCACCATCAAGAATGCTTATCCCATTCCCCATGTAGGAGATTTGTTAGATCATGTTGCTTCTGCCAAGCTGACCATCTTCACCAAACTGGACCTACATGCTGGATACAACAATGTATGCATCAAAGAAGGCAATGAATAGAAAGGAGCTTTCATTACTCCACAAGGATTATTTGAACCACAGCCATGTTTTTTGGGATGACAAATTCTCTGGCCACCTTTCAAGCAACAATGGACGGAATTTTTGTGGATCTACTGCTAGAAGGATGGCTAGTAATCTATATCAATAAGATCCTTATCTATTCTACCAATCCAACAGAACACTGATGAAGGACCCAAGCAGTTCTGCAGTGCTTAACAGAATCAGATCTTGTTCTCAAACCAGAAAAATGCTTCTTTGATGTATCAGAAGTAGAATTTCTAGGGTTTATCCTTCGACTGGGACATATTGGTATGGCAGAAGACAAGATGGCAGCGGTACTCCAGTGGCCAAAGATTGGCAGCATCAAAGCATTACAACAATTTCTAGCCATTGCCAATTTCTACTGACAATTTATTCCAGGATATTCCAAAGTCACACACCCACTATTTGATATTCTGGTAAAAGGTGTCAAATGGAATTGGACAGATAATCACAAAGAAGCCATCAATCAACTCAAGGAATGTTTTAAGGAGCCACAGTTATTGGTTCAACCAGATGTTACCAAACCTTTCCAGATAGAATCTGATGCATCCCTGAAAACATCAGGAGGTATTCTGTTGCAGAAACAGCCTGATAGATGATGGCACCCATGCACTTTCCTATCCCAGTCCTTTTCCCCCATTGAACAATGGTATGAAATCTATAATTGAGAACTGTTAGCCATCATCAGATGTTTCAAAGCTTGGCAACATTATATTGAAGGCTGCACTGAGCTGGTAGAAGTACTGACAAATCATATGAACTTAACCTATTTCAAAGATCCTCAGAAGCTAAACCCACAACAAGCACACTGGGCATTGTATCTATCTATGTTCAATTACCAACTTTGTCATGTCTCCAGGACACATTTGGGAAAAGCAGATGCCCTCTCATGAATAGATCAAGATGTGTCTGAAGGGGGAGATGAACTTCCTGTGGAAGAAGTCCTTCTTCCACCAGAAGTCTTCATTCAAGCCATTCAGAACCTCAAACCCATCAATACCAACATCAGACAACACATCTTGACCTGCAAAACAAAGGATAACATTGCCAATCATGGACTTTGGCTCGCACTACAGCATACCACATATATGGACAAGCATACACCTCCAAGCTGGGATATCCAAGATGACTTGTTAGTATTCAGAGGACAAGTGTACATACACAAGGACACCAAACTTTGACAAGATCTCATCCAGGAAGCCCACAATTCTCCTACCACAGGACATCCTAGATGATAGAAGACACAGGAGATTCTCCAGAGGACCTACTGGTGGCCTACCTTTGCTTGTAATGTCACCAAATACATCACTGGTTGTGCAATCTGTCAAGAAAACAAGGTCATCACACACTGAAACTCACCAGATCTAGTACCCATCACAATAGAACATCATCTTCCATTCCAATCCATCACTATAGACTTCATTACAGATCTTCCTCAGAGTGATGGTCTTGACAGCTGTCTAGTGGTAACCAATCATGACTGTACCAAGGCTTCAGTATTCATCCCCTGTAACAAGACAATTACAGCATCCAAGACAGCTACCCTGTATCAGAACCATGTATTTTGACAGTTTGGACTACCTGTCAAAGTTATTTCTGACAGAGGGCCACAATTTGCATCATGGATGTTCAGGGAATTATGCACTAAATTAGGCATCAAACAAAATATCTCTAGTGCTTTTCACCCTCAAACTGACAGACAGTCCAAATGTATTGATCAAGACTTAGAGCTATACCTTTGGATCTTTTGTAATCACCATGCAACAGGTTGGATGTATCACCTGCCATTGGCAGAATTTGTGCATAACAATAGGTATTTTGATGCAATCAGAACATCACCCTTTCAAGTGCTCATGGGCTATCAACCCCAGCATAATATTCCCACTGTGGGAACAACTGATGCTCCAGACATTGCTTCTAGACTTACTCAGCTAGCACATCTTCACACGGAAATCCAATCCAGCATTTGACTAGCAGAAGAAACAGTCAAGAAACAAAATAAGGGCAAGTTTGTCAAGCATTTACCTGGACAGAAGGTATGGTTGGAAGCAACCAATCTCAAAGGCCTTTATCTGACAGCAAAACTTGGTCCAAAGTGTTATGGTCCCTTCACCGTTGATCAGAAGCTGTCACTGGTAGTTGACTGCCTGAAACTACCACCCAAATGGAAGATTCATCCTGTGTTTCATACAGCATTACTCTATCCTTATTCAGAAACAATGATGCACAGAAAGAACTATCTCTGACCCCTACCAGAACTTGTCAAGAACCAGGAGGAGTTTGAAATTGAACGTATCATTGATTTGAAGACTGTTGGCAAATGGACCTTGTATCAGATTCAGTGGAAAGGATACCTGGCTTCAGACAACTCCTGGTTGCCAAAAACTGAACCATCACATGTCAAGGATGCTTTGGCAGACTTCCTGCAACCAAACAAAGGCTGACTCCTTCCTTATGAGAACTACTCATCTCTTGTACCCTCAATGGCATCCACTACTGTCCTTGCCACCCTTCTCATTGCCACCTAGTTCCTACTCACCCTCCTCACCCTCATCCTTGTCCTCTTCCTTGTCCTCTTCCTCTTCAAAGAGGCCTACCCCATCAACCTTCCAAATCTAGTGTCACCCCATTCCTGTTATCACTGACAAAACCCCCCAGTGGCCAGCATTTGAGAGAACAGGAGTAATGTCCCCAATCCTTCTCACTCCCACTCCTTTTACTGACCTACTTAGTGGTGAACCAAGTAACCCCCTTTGCCAGCACCACCCTCATTGTTGTAGATGAACACCCCCACCTCCTCCTTCTTGCCCTTCTGGGCTTCTTCCTAATCACCCTCCTGTCCGCCCTCACCCTTGCTCTCATCATCCCCATCACCCTTTGCATCACAATTTGACACCTAAAGTGCAAACACTAGTGGGTGTACAATATCGCCACCACCACACAGTGCCCCCTCCTGCATAAAACAACCACACTACCCATGATTGCTGCCAATTATTACAGCAACAATCCCACTTAAGTCTACTTTGAGTACATCAGGGAACATCAAGATTAGTGTCTGGGGGATATTTCTTTGTCTGTAGTACTTGGTTTCTGTTGTATTCTGTTTCTGATTTTTTCAAGAAAATTCCTTTCCTGGTGTCTAAGTATGTGTTAAGGGACCTAATGACTGAGGATCAGGAGTTCAACTGTTAACTGTTACTGGACTTATACACGCTATTGTCCTGCACTGATACTAGACTTGTAAACTGAGCCACTATAGCTGATAGTGGTTTGAGAGCAAATACTGGTTGAAGCAGCACTTCAGACTGGAACTGGAATAGACAACTGAGTCTATTACTAGAGACGTCCCTATAAAGTGTATGTAGGGAACAAGAGGACAAAACCAAAGTACAGTAGCACAAGCAGAGCTACTTAAATAGGGTAGGACAAATAGAGTTTAATTAGTATGAAACACTGAGTTGGATCAGTGATGTACATGAAACGGTTTCACTGGGTTATATTAGTGGTGAAGATGAAACATGATAGAGGTGAAGCATGAAGTAGGTGAAACATGATATAAGTGAGAAGTGGTAGATATGAAACACTGATGTGGATGAAACACATCAAGTGATGGGATCAGTTGTATAGTACAGGGTCAACAACAAATAGTTAGGAAAAGAAAAAGAACCCTCCTCAAAGCTGTAACATTACCCCCCTCTCCAGATTTGTCATTACAGTTGCCATTGTGCACGTCACTCCTTCAAGTATCCTGGTTCCTTCATAGGACATGGGGTTTGTCCAGACTGGACATCAATTATTGTCCAGAATTTGTGATGAGGATGGAGTAACCTGCAGGAGGAACACAATCAATGCCAACACTCACTCTGTAGATGACTGTTGACCTTACATTTGGTACAGAAGCAAAGGCAGAAAGGCATAGTGCCAGAGGGAGGAGTGATGATGGAGAATTCATGGTGTTCAAGATGTTCCTCTAAGTTGGCAGCTCTGAGGTGCATTTGACATTGACTCATCTCTTCTTCTGTGTGAATAAGTTCAGCACCTATAGATCATTGTACTATGAGGAGTAGATCAATTTTTGCATTGACAGCCCTGAAACGATTGACTTCATCAGTCACTCCTGGGTCCCAAATATCTTGAAGTGATGCCCAAAGACTTTCCAATAAATTGTCATCTCATGTCAGCAGATATTCCCAAGTGTCCTCCTCCCATTCCTTGTCGGAGGAATTCCAGTTCCCTACAGGTTCAGTAGTATGGAGTGTGGCTGCTGTGGTTGTCGATACTTGTTGTAATCTAAACACCGGATTGCCATCAATGGGAACGCCCATAGGAGGTTGTGTAATGAAGTTGGCATAGGCTCCAGGGAAGTGAGGTAGTACATGTTCCAGGGGATAGACATCTTGAATAGGGGTGGAGGTGTCGAAGGAGATTGATTGCCAAGACCAGGTAATGTCATTGGAGGGGCATTGGATTACGTCATTGCTATAGACCACAAACTCCTGGGGATTGCTGCTGTATCCTTCTGATGCTGTGACATACTCACTGACATTAGCTAGGAGTTGTAGATTGGGAGCGTGATTGAGGCTACCATTGTTGGAGATATCAGAGGCAAGCGGCAGCATGCTGGGAGAGTCAGTAGATGCAGCGGTGGGACTTTCAGGGTTTGGGGAGGATGAGACATTCATAGGTGATGAGGACGGGAATACCTGTGCAGGAGCAACATGGTAAGACCTGGTGGACGCTTCCAAGGTATTGTGGGGAATCTCCAGGGGTCCAGGGAATTGATGCAGGACTATAGCATCACTATTGGAAGAGTCCGGGGGACCTGGGATAAGGAACGGGTGATGAGTGACATTTGACAGGGATGTGAACAGGTAGTGGAAGCCTCCTTCATCAAGAAATTCTAGTGAGGAGTCATCTAATTCTTGCTGGGAAGGGAAACTTAAGATAGGTTGGACAGGAACTGACATTTCTATTATTCTGGCGGTGAAACACTCTTCCAGTGTTTGGAGATGGGGAGGATAGGGAGTTGGCGCTCTCTGTGGGCCAGATGTTGGAGAATTATTGTTCCTATTAAGACCCAGAGGACAGTGACGCAGATCAGGGGTAGAGTGAGTCACATGATTGTTTCTCAGACAAGGGTTTTGTTCAGCAGGCAT